TATTTGACATGTGGAGATTAAAAAATCCTACAAAAGAACAATTTACAAGGTGAATAAAAAATAACGAAAGAGAAGCAAGTAGAATTGACTACTTTTTGATATCAAGGGAAATAACTCCGAAATTGATTAAAACAGATATCCGTCCTGCTATAATAAAATCAACTGACCATCTTGCGGTTTCATTAATTTTAGATATCTCAAATCCTGAAAGAGGCCCAGGATATTGGAAATTTAACAAGAGCCTACTAAACAATGAAGAAAACAAGAATAGAATTATAGCCATTATAAAGACATGTAATACGTAAATAGAAAACAAAACAACAGAGGTACATACAGCGTGGGACATATGCAAAATAAAGATTAAAGAAGAATCAATATCCTTTGGTTAAAAAATAGCCAAAAATACAAAAAAAATGAAATACAGAGGATTGTGACAAAACAAAGTCTATATGAGCAGTCACACAATGAAAACAGTGACAAAAATAAATGAAATGGAAACTAGTCTATAAAGTCTATAATAAAAAGGCATATGGTGTGCAAATCAGATTAAAAGTTAATTGTTTGGAAAAAGGCGAAAAACACACTTTAGTATTTTCTGCATAAATTTTCATACAGATAGTTCAAAACAGAACACACTATTCACGTAGTGAGATCTAGGTTCAAATCCTAGTCTGGATTTTCTTTTTGGCAAAATCAACGTTTTGTTTACAATACATTTAGATTTTGACAAAACACAAATACCTACCTTGAAATGATTTCACCCCCATTTTGTGTTATTTTACGTAGCCTTGGATTGTGTAGCATTTTTCGTACAAACAACTAAAAATTAATTATTGAAAAATAACTTATTATTTCGTGATAATTCACAGTAAATAACAATTATGAAAATATACATAACTACACTCCATACATGTGTTAGGGTGTTTAAATTTAACAAAAAATATCAACCTTCCTGAATTAGCTTTTTTTAACATTTCACATTGTAACATCATGAAAGAGAGTGCACAACATTATTTAATGGCATAAGTCAGTTAATATATATCAAAACCACTGAAAATGCATAAGAGAGGTTTAAATACCGTATTTATCCGGCAATGAGCCCATACCTGGTAATAAGACTACCCATATCTTTTTCATAGATTTCAAATTCAATGTTCTATATAAACTATTTCCCTGAAATAAGCCCACTTCCAATTATTGACCCAATATTAAACACTGGGCCCCTTAGCTTATTGCAGGATGTATACAGTATTTAAAGTTGTCTGTGGCTTACAATTTGTTGTTACCTTTTCGCTCATGGTTTATACTATAGCAATATGATAATTATGTAAATATTGCTCCTCACGTTAACTTAAGATTAAACTACAAAAAAGGAAATGTCACTTAAATTGATTTTTCCTAGACAAAAAAAGACCAAAAGTTGAATTGGATGGTGAGTTGATGTTCAACAGCGACAAAGGAATTAGCAACACTAGATCACAGCTACCATATTCCTGACTGTGGGGATAATGTTGAAGTACAGACAGTAAAAGTGAAATCAGGTATTTATGAAGTATAATGCTTTCAAGTCAATCTAAACTTTCTTTTTTTTAGATGAGTAGCAAAGAATGGAGTTTTAAGTGCAAATTTAGATGTACCAAGAATATTAAGCCAATGATTTTTTTTCAAAGTTCAAGACTTGGAAGAGGAGATTGCTTCCTTAGAAAAAGAAGTAGAGATGCTTAAGCTGAAAAACCAAGAATGAAGATAGAGGACATCATTCATGACACCGACAAGGTTAGCCTTTAAATAATTATTTTATGCAAGATTCCTCCACACCTGAATTTTTAGTATTTTAAAGCATAGTGTTTTGTTACTTGGCAACATTAAAGATATTATTTCGCTTTTGGTTTCCATATGTTAGCACTATAGTATATGCAGCACATGTCTACCATTTCGAATATTTGGATGTTGGCCTAGTGACCTTATGGGATACCACAGCATCCATCATCTGCCAATTTATCTTATAAATCCCTTCTTCTCTTGAACCACAAAATCAATTTCCACCAAAGTTGTTAAGTAGCATCCTTGGTTAAGGGGGATCAAATTTCCTGTAAAGGGTCTGGGCCCTTCAGAGGAAATTTAGCCAATTCTCTAAAATCTTACTTGTCAGGAAGAATATGGTCCTCCCAAAAGTAGGTCACTGTAACCTTGACTTCGACCTTTGACTTCCATAAAAGTATGTCAGGTGGGGGACTGTAATTCTTGAATTATCTTCTTTGTTTCAGATATTCACTGCCATATTTTGTGCTGCTTTGCAGTACTCTTTTTATTTATATTGACAAATGTTGCTTTAAACTTCACTTCAAGCTGATGTAATTAATGTGTTAGCTGACTTGCTGAGAAGAATGTCACCATTTAACTACTATGCAGGATGGACAGTCAATTGTTTTAGCATAGAAGACCAGCTGTTAATGACTCTCATGAAATTAAGGCTCAACTGTAGGGATTTAGATTTAACAGAGAGATTTAACACAAGCCATGCAACTATTTCAAATATCATAAATACTTACATTTCTACTCTACATGAAACTTTATTTGATGGTGTCTTGAAAGCTGTCAGTATACCTAGTCAGTTAAAATGTAAGGGGTCTATGCCAAAGTCTTTTAAAGACTTTAATTCTGCCAGAATAGCAATGGATGCTACAGAAGTTATTCAAGATGTTTCATCAGACATGATTTGTCAATCTCTTTCCTATAGTAACTATAAAAGTAGGCATACTGTCAAAGCTGTAACATGTGTAGCTCCAAATGCAGCATTGGTATATTGTTCTGATTTGTACCCTGGATCAACTACTGATGCAGCCATTGTAGAACGTTCCAGGTTACATGATCAGCTAAAACCAGGGGACATGATACTGGCTGATAAGGGTTTCAATATTTTTGATAAACCACCTGCTGGTGTTTCATTAAATATCCCTCCTTTCCTGTCAAACAAAGGTCAATTTACAAAAGAGGAGGCAGAACTTTGTTTTAAGATTGGAAGAAGTAGGATCTATGTTGAGCGAGCAAAAAGAATTTTGAGATTTTAAATCACATACCAGCACAATACAGGCATTTATCAACAAAACTTTTTCAAGTTTGCTGCTGTCTTGTCAATGTTCAGGCTCCACTGTTAAAGGAAATTGCAGATAAATATGATATTGTCCAGTCTTGAAATGTCAGTCTGTTTTTCTATTTATAATTTAATATTTCTTGCACATTCTACTATTTTCTCAGCTGTAAATCTTGAGCTCAGCTATTAAAAGGACATGCAAGCTATTATTTCCATACCAGCATTAGTGATGGGTTATCACTGGATTAATGTTTTTGCTTGCTGTTCTTAAAGCATTAGGCATAAAAAGAATTAACTTAAAACTGTTTTCTCATGAAATACTGAAGGCATTCAAATTTAACTTCACACATGAGTTTGAGACCATATGGTACTATATACATGTACCACTGTTAAGACAGATACAGTAAGTCAGGACAATCATTTAATAATTTCTTGTACTCTCAAAATAATAACTATTTATTGTTTCATAATACTTTCACTGGGACATCTTATCTTACTGATCATTTATCTGTTGCTCTGTAGATGTACATTATGTACATTTATCTGTAGATGTACAATATCATGATCATTATCTGCAGATGTAAAGAATTTGTTGAGATGTTATCTATAGATGTAAAAATATGTTGCAAATAGAGTTGTAGTACAATTTGACATTTTTTAAAACTAAACTGTTTTAATTACAGTGATGGCAAGAACGTGTTGAAATAAAAATCAATCAGAACAGAAATAGTTGGTGTCCACAGTTGATCTTTTGTTATCCTTATCACCTGAAAGTCTTTTGTTGTCCAGACAGCAAGGTCACAACACTTGAGTCCCTGTCAGGTACAGCTGGACCTGTATCTGGTGCCAGTAGTCATGTGACTGTTTTAGCACAATCTTTCCATCATCTGACATTTCTGAAACAGTACACATATTGGACTTAAAACCAAATAACAAATATTGGAATCATAAATACACTTATCCGAGTAATCTCCATTATGTACCACATATGCTTGGTCATATACATACTAATATACACAGCCTATGAATCAAATCAATATAAACTTTTGTTAGAAACAGCTGGGAAAGTTTCGAGTACAAGGTAGTCGTCTTTAGAACATAATTTATCTCGGCAAAAGGGAATTATATATCTGTAACTTGACAGAAATTTAACATGTCAATCTGATACACATCTTTTAAGTGGTTTCAGTCTGAATATCTCCTTGAAATGAACAATTTAGTCTGACTGTTAGCAAAGTCACAGAGCTTTTAAAGAAGTTCATAGTTACTTCTTACCTAGGAAAAAATCTTTGATAGATTCACACGCCTCTAATATTGTCATGTCTCTGGCTGTGTATGGGCATTTCACCTCAACTATGTCTGGTGATGAAGTTAAGTGGTTTCTACACTGATGATGGATACTCCTATCATTCTTAAACTCTCCTTGTACAAATACATCAGGTGATGCACCAAGTACCCCAGACTCATGATGTGATATATACGTCTCTGGCTTGCACGCATGCTGATACCACCCGCATCTCATCTATTACTAAACGAAGCACACTGCCACTTTCGACAGATGCTTCGCGTTTCCGAGTGAGTTTACTCTGGTCATTCACATAGTTGGCCCAGTACGAAATCGACTCATGGGTTTGGGGATATCAGACCCTGTCACTTCATCTCCTTTGGCGCCTTTTCAACTTCTTGACATCCGAGATGTCGTAAAATGTAGACATATTAAGACAATATTTAATTTGTAGTTACTATGTGTCATCTTATGTGTATTATCAATAACATCTAAAAACAAACATGACATATCGAAATTAGGTAAAATAAAAGAATTGTCCTATATCTGTACATTTTCCACCAATCGAGAATTGTTCACTTCCGGCGGAAGTGCACATGTTGTTATTTTTACCGGCGTGAGTCTTTGTTTCGTCGGTAATAAATCGCGATTAAAACTATATTTACAAAATGAGTGGAGGAGTTTATGGAGGAGGTAATGTAAAATGCTCATCCCTTTTTGATATGCCATATTTAACTATGTATTCTCTGTCAAAGCAGACATTGTTTGACTGTAATGTTCGAGCGTCTGTGTATTGCCGCTTTAATTTGCTGCATTTGAATAGCAGTGCATAGTACTTAGACATTTATTACAAAGTAACGAAATGGACAATACCTTTACTGAGTGTATCATATATGCGGATGAAATACGTATATGCGACAGAGTCATATCTGTATTTTAAATTAAAAGAATCCTGATGTCTGACTTAAATAATACTGACTAGGTGACACTGTCAATGGAACTGCAGGTAGCAAATTTAGATTCAACAAATTAAATGAAAACGAAACATTATTTAATATCGTTTACAAGTTCAACAAAATGTAGAGCATTTATTAAGACTCACTCAATGAACCAGTTTGCCATCAGCGGGGAACCAACAAGCCCAACAGACATAATTTCTGTGGCCATAATCCGAAGGGCTCTTAATATATTAATTCACAATTTTATCCTTGTGTTGGACGGGTCCATACTGCTGATAAATGCTGAATTTTTGTGACCCATGCATGTGACGGCATTCAGGCAATGTTTTATATAACTGTCAATAGAGCAAGTTAAGGGAAAGCTAAAACATTTTCCTACTAACTAATTTGCATGCGTGTCAAAGAAACTAAATGTAAAGTATTTCTACTCATCATGTTTCCCCATAAACTTCACTTTCACATATTTGCAATGGCCTCACTACAGAATCTCTCTAGTCTTGTAGTTGTGACCCTTCCAGAAAGTAAACTCTCGTATGATTGATGAAAATATTAGTGGTAGGATGGATATTAGAAGCCTTTGGTCTAGATCAACTCTGATACATTAATTAAGTGATCAGCCTTTGCTTTTTTCCAGATTGATAATTGCTGATGTACATTTGGAATTAAATGCAGAAAAGGATTTATTTAATAATACATTATATTTTCCTTTTTTGAAGGGATAACTTGTTAAAAGTTATAAGATTAGAGTAGCTCCTGTGGTCAGATGGCTAGTTGTTATTGGTTGATACCAGGCAAACAGAAAAAAATTGAAGGAATTGGTTCTTCTGTTTCAAATCATAATGACATTCAATTTTGTTTTAACAGATGAGGTTGGAGCATTGGTTTTTGATATAGGCTCCTATTCTGTTCGGGCTGGATATGCAGGAGAAGATTCCCCAAAGGTAATTATAGAGGATATCACTATTGTATTCAAAGGTACAGGAAAGTGATGAATTTTACTTAACAATTTTTCAGTCTTTGAAATGTCACAATTTGTTCTTTTTTTTTTAGATTTTAAGGATGAAATAGATCTGTTTTTGTTTTGCATTATTTAAACTGTTTTCTGATGATTGCAGGCTGAGATACCTACACATGTAGGTGTTATAGAGGACCTTGAGGCTGCCATGGAAACAGAAGATAAAGAGATCAAACAGGCAGATAAAAAGTACTACATTGACACCACTATGTTGAAAGTGCCACGTAAAGGGATGGAAATCAGCAGTTTCCTCAAGGATGGCATGAGTATGTCAAACAGACTCCTAATAATATTTGGCAATAAGCGATAATGAGTATTTGAATTAAAGTAAATCAATTGACAGATTTGCAAATTCACATATTCATAAAGCTTATTATTCTTAGCTTAATAATTTGTCATTATTAAATGAAATGATATCACATAGAATTTTCATCAATGCCCCATAACGATATGCAAAATATGATTGCCATCAGAATTTTACATACAGATTAGTTTTTTTCCCTTATGTGTATCATCTGAATATTAGATATTATTTATTTATGACGTATTATTTCAATCTTGAATAAGAATACAAGTTAAATTTATTCTATCTTTTTTTTATTTCAATTGTGAAATGTTGACTGCAATCTCCATGGGGAATCTATTAATGGGATAATCCACTTTTGCTGAAAGTTCTATACAAATCAGTTACAATATTTTATATTAAAGTTGACAACTGGGAGATTTTTGAGAAGGTGATGGACTACACATACTCTAAGAACATCAAATCTGAAGCCAACATGCACCCTGTGATGATGTCAGAACCGGCAGTAAGTACATGACTGTAAATCTGAAGCTATCATATACTTTGTGACGTTATCAGGAACAGAAGTAAATGCTTAGGGGCAATACTGCAAGTAATTACATGTAATAGTCATTTCATAACTAGCAATAAGCTGTTGGATTGTTATAATCTGATCAATATCAATTGCTGTTCAGTAGCATTACAAATCAGTAATAGTTCTTTAATAAACCTACCCCCTGATTGGAGTCAGACAGAAGTACATGTTGGCTCTCAGGGCTTATTGCAGGTTAATCGTTTTATGTTTGATTTCAACAGACTTTTTAAAAATCATTTTACAGTGGAATAGCCGAGGAAAAAGAGAACGCCTGACAGAAATTATGTTTGAAACTTACAATGTTCCTGCTTTCTTCTTGTGTAAAAATGCAGTTTTATCAGCGTATCCTTTTGTCATAACTTTGTGTGGTTACTTAGACTAAGTAAAATTGTTCTTGTGTCTTGCTTGAAAATTTGTCTTTAAAAACTCTTTTCCATGAGATATTTTTGTATTATTGGGTAACTGTCTGCCAAGACTATTATCTCCTGTAATCTTCATTACCAGATTATAAGTAGCAAGCTACAGTTGAAACGACTGAAATTCTACATTCCTGTTTTGCTCTTACACATGTAATTTAAAGGGGCTATTTAGTTTGTTTATTTTTTTTTCTAGTTACAAATTCATCCGTAAAAATGTAGTTCAATAATCCTTATGAAATATCCTCACTGACATATTGATACAAGCGCATGTTTTTTGTCGGTTTTTTAATGAATTATATGGGAAATCCTAATCGTCTATACAGCACGATAAAATGCAAATGAGCAAGCCGTCTATGCACACTTTGACCTGTGAGCATGCACAAACAAAAATGGCTTCCCAGCCAAAGCGTGTCCATGGCAAACGGGTCGCGTCATCGCACACAAAACATAGAAAAGGTCAGTGGCAGAAAGCTCACTCTCGAATAACAATTGGAGAGTAGTAGGCCTACGAGAGGTGGGACAAGTTCAAGAAAGAAAATTTTTTTCGAAGTAATGAAGAAGTTGTGAAGACTCTTCTAGACTTGGTAAGTGATAAGTCATCATCGCTGGTGATATTTTTTGTATGTCAGACCGTGTTTGGCAGATTTAAACCATCAAATAACAATTCACCGTGAATTTTAGTAACTTTTATATGTTTTACCACACCATTTCTTTCATGATTTCCTTATGAAAGGAGTTAACGTGAAATCAGACTCACCGTTTAGTCACTTGATGCCACCATAACACGTGCATTTGTTTACAAACAGTTTTCTTCCCGCTAGAGGGCGCAGTGTTTCATGCTATATTTGGTTTATCGCTAATTTTGGCAGGGGCTTCCCCAGATTTTAAACTGACTACATTGGACATTGGCTACATAGGAGAAAACTATTATGTACAGATTTGTTAGTCTGGACACATATATTTTCATTTCCAGCTGAATAGCAAAAACGTTGCTTGATTAAATAGCCCCTTTAAAGATGTAGATTTATTTTTGCTAAAAAAAATAAAAACATTCTTTGCAAAATCTGTACTGGGAAATTATTGCTCCTGTTTAATTTTCACCCTTTTTATCCATGAAATAAAAGGGCGAATTTGAGACGAGAGAAAATTTTGTTACACTGATATAACCCTTATATATAATCTTCAGAGAGCATAATGAACAATCATGTATGATGTTACAACAGCAAAAATAACCTGGGGCAAAATTTTTCCAGTATACAATATTTTTATAATTTCCTTAACTCTTAAAAGATTTGCAAATGGAAGATCTACGGGTCTGGTATTGGATAGTGGTGCAACACACACAACAGCTGTTCCAGTGTATGATGGCTATGTCATAGGTCAAGGTACAGTATTATAGATTGATCTGAATCATTGCTGTAGACTGTAGTAGAGATAATATCTCGACAATAGCCCTGTTAACTGTATATTGTGTATGATATTGAGAACACTATAAATCATGATCTCAATGATGTATCCACAGCCATCGTGAAGTCACCATTGGCAGGCGACTTTATATCTCTGGAGTGTAAGAAACTGATGGAGGAGCTAGAAATTGATGTTATACCACCATACATGATACAGAACAAGGTAAGATCTTTTTAATGTATACAAAAGAATGTAATAACTTTTTGATGTACACAGAACAAAGTAATACCTTATTGATGTACACAGAACAAGGTAATATCTTACTGATGTACACAGAACAAGGTAATATCTTATTGATGTACAAAGAACAAGGTAATATCTTATTGATGTACAAAGAACAAGGTAGTATCTTATTGATGTACACAGAACAAAGTAATATCTTACTGATGTACACAGAACAAGGTAATATCTTATTGATGTACAAAGAACAAGGTGATACCTTATTGATGTACACAGAACAAGGTAATATCTTACTGATGTACACAGAACAAGGTAATGTCTTACTGATGTACACAGAACAAGGTAATATCTTATTGATGTACAAAGAACAAGGTAATATCTTATTGATGTACAAAGAACAAGGTAGTATCTTATTGATGTACACAGAACAAAGTAATATCTTATTGATGTACACAGAACAAGGTAATATCTTATTGATGTACACAGAACAAGGTAATATCTTATTGATGTACAAAGAACAAGGTAATATCTTATTGATGTACAAAGAACAAGGTAGTATCTTATTGATGTACACAGAACAAGGTAATATCTTATTGATGTACAAAGAACAAGGTAATATCTTATTGATGTACAAAGAACAAGGTAGTATCTTATTGATGTACACAGAACAAAGTAATATCTTATTGATGTACACAGAACAAGGTAATATCTTATTGATGTACACAGAACAAGGTAATATCTTATTGATGTACACAGAACAAGGTAATATCTTATTGATGTACAAAGAACAAGGTAGTATCTTATTGATGTACACAGAACAAGGTAATATCTTATTGATGTACACAGAACAAGGTAGTATCTTATTGATGTACAAAGAACAAGGTAGTATCTTATTGATGTACACAGAACAAGTTAGTATCTTATTGATGTACAAAGAACAAGGTAATATCTTATTGATGCACACAGATCAAGGTAAGATCTTATTGATGTACACAGAACAAGGTAAGATCTTATTGATGTACACAGAACAAGGTAGTATCTTATTGATGTACACAGAAGAAAGTAATACCTTATTGATGTACACAGAACAAGGTAATATCTTATTGATGTACACAGAACAAGGTAATATCTTATTGATGTACACAGAACAAGGTAATACCTTATTGATGTACACAGAACAAAGTAATACCTTATTGATGTACACAGAACAAGGTAATATCTTACTGATGTACACAGAACAAGGTAATATCTTATTGATGTACAAAGAACAAGGTAATATCTTATTGATGTACAAAGAACAAGGTAGTATCTTATTGATGTACACAGAACAAAGTAATATCTTACTGATGTACACAGAACAAGGTAATATCTTATTGATGTACAAAGAACAAGGTGATACCTTATTGATGTACACAGAACAAGGTGATACCTTATTGATGTACACAGAACAAGGTGATACCTTATTGATGTACACAGAACAAGGTAATACCTTATTGATGTACACAGAACAAGGTGATACCTTATTGATGTACACAGAACAAGGTGATACCTTATTGATGTACACAGAACAAGGTGATACCTTATTGATGTACACAGAACAAGGTAATATCTTATTGATGTACACATAATAAGGTAAGATCTTATTAATGTACACAGAACAAGGTAAGATCTTTGTACTTAATCAGATAAAAGTGTTGTCTAATGGTATCTCTGTTGGATTCTAATAGTTGAAATACTGCGCCAAATATTTTTCCCTAGGTTTGTGTATATATAATGTCCTGACTTGGCCAGATTCCTACTTTCACCACTGGTGAAATGTGTATATATAATGTCCTGACTTGGCCAGATTCCTCCTTTCACCACTGGTGAAATGTGTATATATAATGTCCTGACTTGGCCAGATTCCTACTTTCACCACTGGTGAAATGTGTATATATAATGTCCTGACTTGGACAGATTACTACTTTCACCACTGGTGAATTGTGTATATATAATGTCCTGACTTTGCCAGATTCCTACTTTCACCACTGGTGAAATGTGTATATATAATGTCCTGACATTGCCAGATTCCTACTTTCACCACTGGTGAAATGTGTATATATAATGTCCTGACTTGGCCAAATTCCAACTTTCACCACTGGTGAAATGTGTATATATAATGTCCTGACTTGGCCAGATTCCTCCTTTCACCACTGGTGAAATGTGTATATATAATGTCCTGACTTGGCCAGATTCCTACTTTCACCACTGGTGAAATGTGTATATATAATGTCCTGACTTTGCCAGATTCCTACTTTCACCACTGGTGAAATGTGTATATATAATGTCCTGACTTTGCCAGATTCCTACTTTCACCACTGGTGAAATGTGTATATATAATGTCCTGACATTGCCAGATTCCTACTTTCACCACTGGTGAAATGTGTATATATAATGTCCTGACTTGGCCAGATTCCTCCTTTCACCACTGTTGAAATGTGTATATATAATGTCCTGACTTGGCCAGATTCCTACTTTCACCACTGGTGAAATGTGTATATATAATGTCCTGACTTTGCCAGATTCCTACTTTCACCACTGGTGAAATGTGTATATATAATGTCCTGACTTTGCCAGATTCCTACTTTCACCACTGGTGAAATGTGTATATATAATGTCCTGACATTGCCAGATTCCTACTTTCACCACTGGTGAAATGTGTATATATAATGTCCTGACTTGGCCAGATTCCTCCTTTCACCACTGTTGAAATGTGTATATATAATGTCCTGACTTGGCCAGATTCCTACTTTCACCACTGGTGAAATGTGTATATCCATATGAATTTCTCATTTTATGAAAATATCAGCAAAATAGATGTTTAAATGTACTGTGTGTACTACAGGAACCTGTATCTTTAATGGAGGATGCCAAATGGAAAAAGAAGGATATTCCAGAAGTCACAAAGTCTTTCCATAACTACATGGTCAAGGTAAGGACTTTGTCTTGCCTTGCTTATGGTGAAGGGAAATGGTATTTTGCAGCTTCACCGAGTAAATTGAAATGTGACTTTCAGGTTAAATAGAATATATAATATAAATTTCTTTTATTTTACAACAATGTTGAAACAAGCCATAAGCTTATAATAATCACTCTTGTTGGTCTACATGTAATTGCGGGAGGGGTCTTATTGTGGGTGGAAACTGTAGTACCTGTGGAAAACCCACATGGTTGAGCAGGTGACCCCTACCTTTTCTCTGTTCTTGGAATTAAACTCTGATACGACCACTCAAGTGCCATAGAATGCAGTACATACTAGCACTGATATATTTTTGGATGTCTTTCTTTTGTTGTTATTAAGGCACGGAGAATTTTCTAAAGGTATTGAATGTAAGATTGAATACATCCTTTTGAGTGATTCTGCAAGTGAGATTAAATATTAAGTTGTGGGTGAGATAGACCAGTATTTTATAAATGTCAGCAGGGCATCGTGTGTTACAAATATTTTTATTTGATTTCAGGATGTATTACAAGACTTTGCTGCCTCAGCCCTTCAGGTGATGGACACTCCATATGATAACAGGTAAATATTATACAACTTCATACCAAAGATTATTGCTGAAATTGATACACACAAATTAGATTTATTTACTTTTTACAGGGTAATCAACTGTTTTATGGATATTTATCCATCCTCTTTTTGTCTCCTTCTCACATACTGACTTCTTATACTTCCATCTATTCATTTCCAATCTTTCCCTATAATTATTCGTGTCTGAAGACCATCGGTCCTCACGATCTCCATGAAGATCCAAGGTCTGTGGTTCATTTCTCCTGTGGTGGTCTTTGTGTCGCAAAATGCGGAGAATTGGTCCTGTTATTGCTGCCACAGTTTTTGGCCTTTTGCAAGACACTACCATAATTACTCAGGATGGCCTCCCTTATGTTGTTCAATCAGGTAGCAACCAGCTACTACAAGGAGGCCCCCACCTCAAAATGACATGGCTGTTCACAGGATGATAAACCCAGCAAAAGTCATATTCGAATAACTCATAGATAGGTCTTAAGTATTCAAAGCAGGGCTCTCACACCCCATTTTGGGACTGGAGCCCGGGGTCCTTTGAATTGGGGAAAAATAATGGTGTTTTCCTTGGAATTGGGAAAACTTGGGGTCTAAATTGGGAAAAAGATACTATTTTGCATTGGGAATTCGGCCCCAAATCTGGCAGATCGAGAGCCCTGCACAGTCTATGTGGAAACCTTTCAGTTTAAAAATATGTTTAATGATATAGGGAGTATCTGTGTGTATGTCTACATTTTCGTTTTTGAAGCAATCATGAAAATTTGGACTTTGTTTTTTACTTATTCTTTTGTTATAACATCAGGACAGAGAAGTATTGTTTGAGTATCTTAAGGTGTGCAATTCTGTCCCAACAGAGTTTTGGGTACTATAGAGTTATAGATTTTCAGATAAGCATTTCAGTCCTCAATATGAGATGAAAACATATATTCCACTATACTATAAAGACACCTGCACGTCCAGTACATGGTTGTTTATGTTACCTGGTTCTTTACTGGGTGATATTGTACAGATTTGATAAATTCAAGCAGAACTATATGATAAGATGCATTTCATGCAGTATCCAACATCAGCATTATAGTTTGGGTGGTCGGGTGGTGCAGTGGTAACACACTCGCCTTTCATCTGGCTGTCTAGGGTTCAATTCCCAAAATGGATGTGAAAAGGTATTTAGTCACCTGCACGACCATGTAGGTTTTCCCCAGGAACTCTGGTTTCCTCCCACATTAGGACCTCCGCATGCTTCCATTCAGGCCAACAAGGTTGATCAATATAAGCTGATAGCTTGTTTCACAATTGTTGTAAAATAAATGAAGTTTATATATAACCTTATAGTCTATCCATAAGATATAGATCATTTAGAGAAGTAACCCCTACAACAGGTCATCACTGGATTTCTTCAATATGTTTATGTTCACTAATTAATCAATGTTAAATTTGATTAATTCAATCTGCAAGTAAGCAATTACTAGTTATTCTAAAATCTGCTTACAGCACGGCTGAGACAATGCCAACAGTGCTGTATGAATTCCCTAATGGCTACAACCAAGACTTCGGAGCAGAGAAGTTCAGATTACCTGAAGGCCTTTTCGACCCCTCAGTGATAAAGGTGAGATGCTGTACCATAGAAAAGGAGTTACCTTATTATATTTTTTTTTTACCATCAAACAAAAGTCTAAGATTTTGTTGTTATTATTTTTTTTTATTTGTAATTTCTTTCTGGCAATAATAAAAAAAAAATTAGGTACCAAACTTGCTTTACATCATCATATATCACTATTGTAATAGAGCCCCAATACCTTGTAGATCAATCATGTGTAATTCCTCCTGTCAGAATACTTTTAAACATTTGCTTACAATGCATCCAACTTGCAACTTTCTTATAGACCTGTTCTGTGGTTAAGTAAATTCATTGATATCATATTATGTACTTATCTTTCAGATATCAGATGCTTAATATGACTTTATATAAATGAGGTCTAGCTCACTCCATTAGGAACCTGAGAATCATATATATTTATATAACTTCTGTGTATTTGTAGGACTTGCCAAGTGGAAACACCATGTTGAGTGCAGGACATGTTGTGACCACCAGTGTTGGAATGTGTGATATTGATATACGACCAGTAAGTAAACATTTCTGTACACAACTTTATACTTAAAATATATTTCAGTCTCTTTGTCTAAATTTCCTCTCACTTTATTGGGGTTTAATCCTAAACCCATTTAGTTACAATAATGCCATTTTTCGTCAATACATGCATTTTCGAGATCAGCATTCAAAAAATCATGTATTTGCGAATATGTCTGAAATGATAAGTTTGCGAAAAAAAGTATTTGAGAATTCTTAGGGATTTATGGTATATAATGTAGTCTGCAATAACCCAAGTCCAGGTCAATTAACCCTCTCACATCTGTTGCAGTTTCAGTAGGATTAACAACAAATCATTGTCCAGTAATAAGCCCATGTCCCTATTTGTCTTATTGATTAGGCCCCAAGACAGATAAAAGAATTAGCAGCAATGTCGTGTGAAGTCAAGTTTAACTGAAAATCCAATCCAGATTTTGATATGATCACAAATTATATATTTTTAATGAAAGTGACAGTAGTCTTATAGTCATTGTTTCTTTGGTAAGACTTCCTTTTGCACCCCACCCCCACCTAACAATGTCAAACATACCTTGAAGAATATTTATTGCATATTTTACCTTTGTATCACTATTCCAATAGATGTCCAACTTTTCCTAATGTTACCTTAAAAAAGAACCCTTTTCAAACACATGGATATCTCATCCTTATTGAAAATTGAATGAGGGATACAAAAAGAATTCTTTCTGTCTCAATTTATTGTTCCTGTTTCTGTGTCATACTAATCATTAACACAAAGACTGCACCAGTGTAAAGTTTTTGATTTTGTTTCTGTAGAGCCTGTACAGCAGTGTAATCGTTGTGGGAGGTAACAGTCTTATCTCTGGATTCACAGAACGACTCAACCGTGATCTCGGTACCAAGACACCACCTGTAAGTACTCTTTGTCACCTATAGTGTATATAAATTTCATATAGACCTTGGTCTGTTATTTCCCATAGATTTTTAACAGCAGTAAATTCACCAGGAAGAAATGGGTGGCACTATGCCATTCCCTGACACCCTTTTCATAAAGAAAGATGATAAGTAACTGTGGTCACGGTATTGACACAGCCACGAAACCTTACAAGATACGTCGAAATGATTCTAATTTATCCTAAGGATAAATCACCCCAAAAGAATGTCATAAAATGCAAGAACTGCAATGCATCGTACGTCAAATAAACAGGCAGGAGGTGTCACTAGCTCAGAGTGAAATCATTTTCAGTCCCAGATCAGCAAAATCATATTATTGACTGGGAAAATTAAAAAAATAGTTGACAGGGAAAATATCTTTTCATGCTGCTGGCCCAAGAGGCCATCTTGATATGCTATGGTGGGCCACTACTAAACAGGGACAAGAGGCGCTACAGACAATCTCACATCTATGACCATGTGGTATAAAATAAAGTGTAGCTGTATTGACTATAGTATAATGTGGCCGTCTTGTGTAATTTTTTTCCCTCTTTTATCTGTTTATCATCTCGTCACATATTTCCAAGCTCAGTGTACATAGGATTATAGTACAGCTATAAAAGTTGGTAGATTCCTTACCATCTCCTACAATACTTATGTTAGAGCTAGTACACTTAACAGTGGTCGTTTATCTCATGAAGGTATGGTAACTGCATGTTCATCAAAACGTCTCACTCAAATCTTCTACTGTTTGTCAAAAGAGTAGCAGTAGTAATCAAAACAAGTGAAGAGGCTGGGTTCATCAATTTATTATAAACTGGTTTCACCCAAACAGGGCTTCTTAAGGACATCTTTACACCTAATGTCCAAATAAAGGATATATATTGAATTTTTATAATATGATGTCTGTTCAGAAGATATAACTCCATCACAACTCCATCATAACTCCATCATAACCCCATAACAACTCCATCACAACTCCATCACAACTCCATCATAACTCCATCACAACTCCATCAGACCCCATCATAACCCCATAACAACTTCATCACAACTCCATCACAACTCCATCATAACTCCATCACAACTCCATCATAACTCCATCAGACCCCATCATAACCCCATCACAACTCCATCACAACTCCATCACAACTCCATCATAACTCCATCAGACCCCATCATAACCCCATAACAACTCCATCACAACTCCATCATAACTCCATCACAACTCCATCATAACTCCATCAGACCCCATAACAACTCCATCACAACTCCATCACAACTCCATCATAACTCCATCACAACTCCATCATAACTCCATCAGACCCCATCATAACTCCATCACAACTCCATTACAACTCCATCATAACTCCATCACAACTCCATCATAACTCCATCAGACCCCATAACAACTCCATCACAACTCCATCACAACTCCATCATAACTCCATCACAACTCCATCATAACTCCATCAGACCCCATCATAACTCCATCACAACTCCATCATAACTCCATCACAACTCCATCATAACTCCATCAGACCCCATCATAACTCCATCACAACTCCATCATAACTCCATCACAATTCCATCATAACTCCATCACAGTTATTTTACCCTACTTATTAGCTATATGAAATTTGTTTACAAAGATAAAATTACTCAGTGTCCTCTTGTTAATAATCTACTCTGACACTGTTAGTTGTCTTTGATTCCCCTGGAACTTTATCACTAGAATCATCACTTAAGGCCAAGTCTTTGTGAAGCATCTTGTCAATGTGTGTTTTTCAGGTATCATCTTGCTTGTTCTCCAGCAAGTGATGCAAGTGATTTTTAAGTGTCAAGTCACTATTAACCAGTTGTTTGTTTTACTGGGCACTTCTTAGTATTTACAGTCTTAGGATAGTCTCTGCATCTTTAAAAAGGATATAAGGCTCTCTTCCAAAAAAATACCTGTAAAAAGAATTGATCTGTAAAAAATGTATCCCTTTTTTTCAGGCTTTTTTGAAAACTGTACAAAAAAATTTGTATCACAAAAAAAAGTTGCCAATAAACCAATAGTCCTACAAACAGGATCTCTGTTTGAAATGTGTTTGAGGTCAAAGGCTAACAGATTCGGAGAAAACAATTAAGAAATGACATTTACCCATAATTCAGGTCTAAACTGTCACTATCTAACTATCTAGTAAAGATAGACGACAAGATCGTGTGACATGTAGTTGTTATTTTGTAATTTTAGTTAATACCTGTTTTTAGAATAGACTGTAAGCTTAATTGTTATCATATTTCTCGGCAGTTTGTCATTACCGAAAAACTAAAACACCAAAAGGGGGACATGTACAAAGTGACTCCTTACTGATCTTGTCTCTTGAATTTGTTACATAATATCATTTAATTCTCGTTTTGGAAAATAGAAGTAACATACTTCAAAAGTCAAAGGTCAAAAATCAAAGTGACATCTTGCACACATATTTTTGATAACACATTAAGGTTAAACATGGTAGACACAACCTTACAGACTGATACTGAACTTTTCAGGCAAGAGTACAATGAGATTTCACAAAAAAAAAAAACCTTGTAACTTCCAATGTCAAAATTCAAATTGGTCACTGGTAGTTATCTTGAAATATAGAAGATTCTTAACACGTGGCACACATATCTATGACCCATACTATGATTACAATGTTGAAAGAAAATCTGTTCAGCAGTTGTAAAAGTGGAGCTAGGTCAGAAACTTACAATATCTAAATCCCAAAAAGCTGCTAGTAGCCAGTTTGAGTATTTGATAATTTGTCATGCACAACTAGAGTTGTTTATGTTAGTGAGATTTCAAGAGAATCATTCTTATAGCTGTTTGAAAATAGGGATCACCAACTTCAATATCCAAGATGGTCTCTAGCTGGCAGCTAGCGTACAGCAGTGCACAACTTAGACCAACGCTTATTGGGTTGATGAATGATTAAGAAAATCTGTTTAGTAGCTATGGAGAAACAAATGTCACAAAAAATTATCTAAGGACATAGGAATGATAAGTGATTGCGTATGGCTGGATATTTTCATGGGTCAAAATTTCGGCAATTTTCTTTTAAAACGATTGAATTAAGATATCGCACTCTTTATGTAAAAGGACATCTTACAGGAATTAAGATAATAACCACTGGGTATTGCTAAGGATTAACTTTTTAATTCCGGGTTAATTTTTCAGTGGAAAAAGTCTTGTGTTCCCTAGTTTCATTCCAAGGTAGATTTTTTTTTTTTTTCTGGAAAAGAAATTTTCCAGTTTTGGGTGTTTTCTTTTATATAAAAAAATTACCAATTGTGGGTTGGAATTTACAACTTCTCAAGTTGATGATCTTCCATTCAGTAGATGGCGAAATTTCTCCTAATTCGTAGATAATATAAATGCCTTTAGATCTTAGATTTATCTGCATATTCTTATTTCTTAGATTTATATAACTTGACCACGGAGCATGAAATATATTGAATTATATAAAGAATAGTTTATTTTTTCCTTGACCATACAGGTTAACAGTGTAAGATTTTTTGGGGGTTTTATTTACTCACTAACTTCAGAGATGTAGAGCCAACACTTAAAGTATCAAGGGAGATAACTTCTGCAGTCTTATAGACTTTTTGCAGAATCCTTGCCACTGCTGTCTCCAGATTACACTAAATGTGGAATGTAGTAATTGAGGTGAATGTTGATATTTGTTAGAGTGGCTGTCATCAAATTTTGTCAGTTTAGGATGGTTTTTTTTTTCACTTGGAGCATTCTGTGTGGCTTGGAATTTTAACACTGACCAGGTATGGTCCCAGATTTAGTGGTTAATGTCAAAACAGCAGATATAGAAGAAAACACTGTGTTCCACAAAACATAATTAAAGACAGAAACAGGTAAATATGAGACCAAGTCATTATTTATTGAAAAGGTTCTGTAGTTGCGTCAGTTTTGTAGGCGTAGTCATTGTAAGAGGATGTTAAAAAGAGGCATTACAACAAATATACATTAAAATACCTGTATGTTTGAAGATAAAAAAATTAAAAATGGTTGAAAATGAAGCTAACGTCATACTTGTCTGCCGCCTTGTGTGTGACACGCCCTGTCAGAAATATGGGGCCTTCAATAATGCCACACTGGAGACAACGTCAAACCACACCCAAAATTAGAGACCATTTGTGAAGGCTGAACTCTAATTAATCGCAACTTATCAGCCCTGAGGGATTGCTTTTTGTGCTGTATTCATTTTACAGGAACAAGAATTTATTCATTCTTAATTGAAAATGTTATTGCATCAGTGACTTAGAATCAATGGATGTTTAAAAGGATAGAATGTTGGCAATCAATTAAAAATTTTTGTTTGATTCTTTGTAAAATATTTTTTTTAAAATAATCAATTCTCTATCATTGTCAGTTGTTGGGCAAAGATTAATGTGTAACATGAAATGTTTGTACCAGAGGTACACTTCGTGATTTTTGACTTAATGTCAACCTTAAATTGCTGCTATTGGTCTGTATGTTATTTGTACAGATACATTATACAACCAGCTCTCTTGTAATCCATTATTGTGCCAGACAATACATACATATTCTCTGCTTTGCCCGTTGCGATTTCTAGGCTCAAGTATGTTTAGAAAAATGCTATTTGTACATTTAAAGACTATGATTTTAACTTTTGTGATTGGTTTGTTGTAAAACATTGTATGATAGTTGAAAGTATTCATAAGTGAAATTTCATATACTTATAGCTGTCATTGTCAGCCGTGATATTTTCGGGACTAAATTTTTCATCTGTTTTACATTTTTTTTTATCACACTTTAAATCCTTTGCTTCTGTTTGTGTATTAATTATCTACAGTTTCACAAGATGATTTATAGATTTGGACCCATCAATGAATTAACACTAGAGTTTTCAGGGTTCTTAGCTCTACTGTTGATGACAGAGAGGTGGAGGCAGTGTTGTCAGTGTGTGTCTAGATCC